CCCGCCGCCGTGCCCAGTCATGTGCGCGGGCCGCCCCGGCCCGCCGCCTCCCGCCTCGTCCCCTCAGAGCGCGGCTGGGCCGGCCCTCGCACAGCACCGCGGGTCCTGCGGCCTCCTCCCGAACAAAAGGGCTTAGGGACAGAACACCGTTTGGTTAAAAAGGCTTTGGAAAGCGAGGGCAGGCGGTCTCGGTTGTGAATATTTTCTGATTTTTCCAGAAATCAAGCAGAAGATTGAGCTGCTGATGTCAGTTAACTCTGAGAAGTCGTCCTCTTCAGAAAGGTACGGCTGCATCTCTTGCATGAACGAGTCATGGTGTAGCATTGCCAAGCAGCGGCGCAGGGCTTTTTTCTTTTCCTTGTCAAGTTTGCTAGCATTGTTTACGTACTGCATGCTAGTTTTTGTACCGTATCCATCGAACCTCTCTTTTTGGTTAAGCTTTGTGCATTTTGGAGAGATTTATTGGTTGTTGTTTGTTTTTTTTTTAATGAAACCTTTTAACGGACTGCAGCATGCAAATCATCCTGTACTTCAGCAGGCTGCTGGTTTGTGTGTGCTGGTGTTGCAGACCTCGCTCCTTTTCAGTGTCATGCAAGCAGCATCTCGGTTTCTAAATTCCTTTTTAAAGACCTCGCGTTTTTGTTGTGTTGCAGGAAACCGTTCCACGGTTGCAAAGGTTTCCTTTCAATCTAGATGCATAGGAAATAGAACTTGGCGAAACGTTTCGTGTCCTGTTATGTGGAAAGGGAGTGTCCTTTGCAAAGTAGCTCAGGAATCGCAAATCCTCCAATTAGTCACATTCTGTAAGATAGATGTGATCCTTGTTCAAGTCTGTGCTAGGAAATGGAGCAGTCGCTGCATGCAGTAATGGTTCATGCCTGCAGGTAAGGACAAAATGACTCAGAAGTGTTTTTAAAGCAATTATTTTATCTGTCAATCAGATTATTGCAATTTGAACTAGCTGTTTTGTTTTAAAGAAATATTTCGAGGTACTAAATGCACGTTAAGTTTTCTGTCGTGAAATAATCGCCTGGTGATTATTTTGTTGATTTTAAATGATCCAGCCCCGCTCACTTCTGTTTTGCTTGCGACTGAATTTTAGGAGATATTTTTATTTTCAAAATCGCTTAAATCCAGAACGACATAATATCTTTTTTTTTTTTTTTCCTTCCCCCGGAATTATTTACAGTAATCATTTCGGCTGTATGCAAAAGGCCATCCGAGTGTTCTGTTTTGTCATTTAATATTAGATGTTGGCAAAAGAAAAAACCCTCCTAATTTTAAGCACTCAAACTGTATGTTTAGCTGAAATTATTTAAAGTGGATTTTGTGGAATGGCTCAGCATAGAAAGAATTGTTAATGCACTGAAAGCTGTCTTAAGGAAACAGGCTAAAAGACATCTTTCAAAATGAATGAGTGCTATGTGGCATGCATAGTTATAAGAAAATGAGCAGTTTTACTTGGTTTATAATTATATTTGTGTAAGATACATGGAAGCAAAGTGCATTGCCTTTCACCAGCCGTAATATAGCAAAATATCAGCAATGAGAGACACAGAAAATGGTGGGGGGGAATGGGTTGTTAAGTCACCTTTCCAAAATGGAGAAATATAAGAAGAGGTTTGAGATATATTTTATTTATTTATTCAGAATTAAGAATCATGAAAGAAGATGTTAAATGTTTATTTGCTTACTTCTGTCCCACCCTGATGCTTAAAATTTTTAAATACAAGACTAATAAAATGGTGTTGATAAGAGAGGATGATGGGGTGAAAACAGTAAAGGAAAACAGGTGTTAACTTGATTTTTGGAAAGGCTTTTGTTGCCATTGCAGTGGGGGAGTTGAATATGTAATACAGGTATTTATTTTATCAATACAAATGTTATGAAGCACCCTAAATCTGATCAGTCTGGTTTTGAGCAGAACATGCTCGTAGTTGAACTAATGGTAGTCCTATATGAATAGGTGTCTGTAAAGGATTATTACACATAATTAGAGAAAGATGCATTTGTCTGAGATCCATTCAAATGCCATTCACTAAAAAGTAAGATTTTATTGCAGCATGATGCGTTATCTTGCAATAGATGAAAATATGAATGTTGTATATGCACATAAATTTCTTTAGAGGATTTAAATCTGTGGTACTGTTTACCTGGAGATTGATTTGACGTATCAGTTGCACAATTTGTGGCCAGTTATAAGCAAAAACAACTTTATATATTATCTGAGATCTTTATAAGTAACCACATTCTTTTCACCTAGCTAAAAATAGATGGAATTTTTTTGCAAGCTGTTATGAAACAGTGCTGTCTATCCTATTAACTGCCAGTTCCTTTCAAGGCCCTTTAAAAATGACTGTGTAAGATGTTTTTAAAAAAAAAATAAAAATATAGTGTTTAGTGTCTGAACTGCTAAACTGTCCTCAGTCTGCTGTATAGCAACATTGCAGTGTGTGTGCTCATACCATACAGACATTAAAATGTGCATGTTTCGGATGGACACAGAAAAGGAATTTGTACTTGCATATTTTTTTATTTCCAGTTTTTCCCCTTGCTCCTAGTGGTTGGACTTTTTGAGAAGCTGAAGTTCTCCGGGTGGAAGATCTGAAGGAGTCTCTGGCTGATTGCTTGTTTTCCGCACTAGCAGAGGCCGCTAGACAGTGCTTGCAGAGCAGGAGGGGAGGGGCAGGAGGTGCTCAGAGCATTTACAGAAACTAAGGAAATGAGGATAGAGAAGGGATGAGAGGGAAGCCCATCACTTGCCCCTTGCTCTGGTTGGTTTTTGCTTTTACAAGAGGCTTTAATGTTTGAAGATTTTCCTGCTCGCTTGGCAAGTTCATCACGTTATCCTATCCTAGAGAAAAAAATGATGAGAAAAAAGCTGGAATATAATGGATGATTTGGCTGTTATGGAAGCTCAACGTGTTAGAAATCCTGCAACGTTCTCTTAGTGTGGTGGTTGTTTTTAAGAGTCTTTTAGGAGACATTAGCAAGAAAGTGAGATTAACCCTTTTGTTGAGCATCCTCTGAGATGTTAAAGACATTGCAGCCCTGAAAAGTAAATGAATACAAACCCAAGACATTTTTCATGGTGAGATTCATCCTTCCTTTCCTCTTCCCTCCCTCCTAGAAAAACTGTAATTGCAGATGAGTGAAGATAAGATACCTGTGTTTTGGTGTGCTGTGGGATATTTCATTAAGCAGAATCAGACAACATCTACAAGCCCTAAATTTCTGAGTAGTTAATGCTGCCCGAGTGCATTCACAGCCTATGGCAAAGTCCTGGTCCCTTGTTGATCAGGTAACCTGGGAGCTGCGAGTGCACGTGTGCACACAGATGTTACGGTGGCTCAGGTAACACCTCCTGTGACTCCCTATGCTGAATTGATTTGTTTGGATATCTGAGCTTTAAGTGTACAGTGGAAATGTTTTCCTCCAGCACACTCACAATGTGATGCACACCTGATTTCTAATAAGTAGTAATTTAACTACTGTGTACCCTCATGTTCTTTATATTTCAGTGGGAGCTGCGTGAGGTTTCTTATCCAAGCCTTGCAAATGTCATTAGAAAGCAAGTAGCAGCAGCCAGACGGAGGAGGATGGTCTTTCAGGAACCCTCCAAGAAAGCAGAAATACTTTAATATCTGTTGTGCGAGTTGCTCAGTCTTCTCATGTACACTCACTCTTCTCATGTACAGTACAGTCAACCTTTTGAGCTGTACAGATTTTCTTTTTTGCCTTTTTAAGGTCTTTGTGGAACTCCTTGCAAGTTTCTGTTTCATTTTAAGAAAAGTAATTTCTTCCACCCGGACGACTTTCTACTCTTTAGACTGCAAACCTAATGTATGTCTTATTTTTCCTTTTCATGCATTTGGACAAATAACTCATTATTTTTTTTAGCTCTGATTTTGTATTCTAAATTTGTCATCTTAGCAATGCAGTTTGACTACTGGTAAAGGTTATCGGCAAGGCTAATAGGTCTGAAGTGTTTGACCTGCTCTTTTCCTGTCTTTCTGCAAAAGCTGCATATGCAAGTTTCTTTAAAAGACTTTCTGCTTCTGTGTTGTTCAGAAAAAATAAATAGAACCCACTCGTGAGCAGTTTTAAAGTAGATAAGCAGTGTGTGTATAACTCGATTTTCATTATTTTTGAGAGGTTTTATAATTAGCAGTAAAGGGAAGATGCTTTCAAATGACTGTAGGACAGCAAAGTTTGTATTATTCAGTATGTAGAAGTATTTGGTGTGGGGCGGTGCAGGCAAGGTTTAAGGACAACTGTTCTGTGGTTTTGTTTGGCTCGTTGTGTTTTTTTTAGCCTTGGGCTATATGTACCCCTCTTTCTTGGTAATTTATCTTTGCAGAGCAAATTAATGTATTTCTCAGTGCTTTTACGTGGTTGCTTCATCAGGCCATTCCAGGAATGCAGTCAGGGATGAAGTAAAGGAGGAAGAAATCTAAAATTAGGAGGAGGAAGAAAAAAGATGGAGAGACTGAGTGCTCTCTGCTTCCTTTTCTAAGAAGAGAACTGATTTTAGTGATGTAAGAGTCTTTGTGAAACAAGTTATGACACTGAAGGATTCCTTCAGGTTAAGGAACTGGGATTTTTTTGTTTTGTTTGGGTTTTTTGTGAGTGTGGTTTTGTTTTGTTGGTTTTGGGGTGGGTTTTTTGTTTTGTTTGTTTTGTTTTATTTTTTAAATTTTTTTAATTTTACTTTAGTTGTGGGTGCACTACTTCTCCTAAGGTGGAAATGTCACTTGTAATGAAGCACAGAAACAAAACACATGTTTAAAAGTAGAAGAACCATCAGCTCACAACATTCAGTATGAGCTGACATTGCCGTGTGTCAGATAAATGGTTTGATATAATTATTAGATAATAAGGCATTATAAGATAATAATTCTATTGTTATTTATGTACCTAACATGGAAACAAATAATTACCAGAATAATGCAACTATTTCATCAGTTCCACTACCTTTTAAACATGTTTTAAAAATACCATCTTTTCTTTAGCTGTGTTCCCTCTTTTTTTTGTTGAATGTAAAAGAAATACTGCTTTTCTATTTCAGGACAGTTCACGTTTATTTTTAGCAGTTATACAACTTTTAATTTTTCAGTTTTGTTTAAAATAAAATATGAAAACAATGAACGGTGTATAGATTTTGGTTTATTTGTTTTTTTATTTTCCTTTAAAAAAAAAACTCGCAAGCTAATACTGCTATTTGTTGTATTTTATCTCATAAGTAGGGAGGAAATCATCCTATCTTAATGGGGGCACTGAGC